TTTGGGCCCTCGTTGGTTCTCTTAGGGGGCTTTCGGGAACGGTATTGTGGGCTTTTGAGCCAGCGCCAGCGTCGTGGGCGCCGAGGAGTCGGAGGAGGAATGGAAGGAGGATGTCAGCCGCGCCTCTGAGGACGGGCGGCCGCGCGCGGGAATGCGACGGAGAGCGCCGGGAGGGGCGGCATTTCGAAGGTGGGGCGGCGTTTCTTTCCAGAGCTTGGCGGGTTCATTCTTGCGAAGTTCTGGCAAGTGGATCGTCGGTTCGCCTTCGGGGCGCGCGCCCTTCTCTGGGGGCGGAAGGACGGAACTCCGCGGCCAGTCAGGCGCCCTGGGGTCGCCCGAGTGCTGGTCGCCAGCGCGACGTCTCCGGGGGGCCTGGCTGTCGCGCGGGTTCAGGCGCGCCTCCGCAGCGTGCAGTCAGCCAGCATTGCGAGGATGCGCGATGAAGACGCAGGGGCCTTGGGCGCCCACTTCGAAACTTTTCGAGCGGGGCGCGGCCAGCGAAAGCGGCGAAGGATGGGCCGGGGAGGCAAGGATGCAAGGGCGCCCGTGGGAAGGTTGCCCACCCCTACGTTGCGGGTTGACTGCGTCGCGCGCCATGGGGTGGGGCGGGGGCGCCGGGGAGGCGCGACGTGTTCTTTTCTTATTTCTGGCTGGGGCCGTCTTGTGTGCGCACATCGGGCTATTGTCATGGAAGAACATTGTTGTCGCTTTCTTAGAGCCTTGAGATCATTTGGAGATCATGCAGAGATCATTGGGAGATCATTTGGCTAGGTCGAGAAAGCAGCTGCTACGGGGGCGCGCAGCGACGATTCATGGGCGGGGGCAATGCAAAAGGACGAGGCCGTGGGGGACGAGAATGAGGAGGCATTGGCACTTCTGCCCAAGCTGATTGTGTTGGACTTCCATGCACAGGAATGGCACTTGCCAGGGTGGGAGCCGGGCTGCGTCCAATTCTCCCATCGAATGGGCGCCGGTGGTTTTTGGATGAGCATCGGATGCGCCCAGCGTTGGGCGTGAAGCGCGCGCAGTTCATGATCGCGACAGCGTCGGCAGCGACGGCGCACGCCGCGCAAAAACGGGCAATCGGCGCAGTCATGGCGGATCTTGAGAGAGTGCGCGGCGTAAGTTGCATGTCCAGTTGCGCGGCCATTGCGCGAGTGCGAAGGCGTGGGGACTAATTGATATTCAGGCCGTTCGACGGGAGACGAAGGGGGGGCGCCTGGCGCGCTGAAGCTGTTGCAGGTTTTCCGAGGGGAGAGTGCGGATTGGGCTGGGTGGGGGGCGAAGCTCATGCCGCGAGACCAGCGCGAGCGGTGCCGACGTAGGCAGCTGGTCGAAGCGTTCGCGAAGTACGAGTTCCAGCGGAAGGAGAGGCCGGCCTTCTGTGCAGAATGCGCCGCGCCGCAGATATGAAGGGCCGGGAGGGGAAATTGCGCAAACGTGCGACGCATGAGCAACCAGAGCGCAGGGCGACGGATGCGCGCGGGAGGGCGGCGACGGGGGCGCGGGGGGAAGCGGCGGCGGTGCGGGCGCGAAGAAGACCAGGGCGTTGCAATGCGCAAAGTGCGCGGATGTTAAAGCGAAACAGAACTCGCGCACGGGCAACGCGAAGTGAAAGTAGAGCGCATTGAAAGTGCGATGTTCGAGTAAGACGTGCCTGGCGCTGTTTGATGGACAGGGGGAAGCGTCGGAAGCGCACAGGAAGCGCAACGCAGCAGGAATGAGGCCGCGTAGAAAATGCGCGGAGGAACGCGAGAGGTCGACGCGCGAGTCGGATAATAGGAAGCGAAGGGTAGAGGCAGAAACGGAGCCGCTGACGTGCTGTGCACCAGGATGCTGTGTGACTTTTTGGGTACAGGCCATGTGGGTCGCTACCATGTGGAGATCCAGCGGAAGGAGAGAGGAGCCGGAGTGGTGTGCGAGGACTGTAGCAAGCGGCGCCGCAGCCGCTGTCGGTCGTGAGCATCGTTCGTTGCTGGGCATCGTCTCTATGTTTCCCGCGCCCACGCGGGGCGCGCCTGTGCCCGTCGTGCGGTCAAGATTCGGGCGCGGCCCCCCGAAGGGCAGGGAATGCCCATCGCTTCTGCGTGCTACGGCGCTGGTCACCTCCTTGCCTTCGTCGCCGTGTGATTTCCAGGCGGCGCCGATGTGGTCGGCGCGCTGAAACGCATCAAGCGCGCCCTGTCGTCCTGGTGGCGGCCTCTGTCGTGGCCGCCGCTGTGGCGGTGCCCGCGCCCGCGGCGGTCTAAATTGGCGCGGTAAGCGCGAGGTCGAGGTCCGACAGCAGGCGCCCCCCATGGTGAAAAAGTCCCACTGTCGGCGTCGCCGCGGACGCTGCCCACCCGAGCCAACGCGCTGCTTGTCAAACATCGGCCGCTGCCAGAAGTGGGCAACATTTGCTGTTGGGCATCGTGCTGGGTTGCCAAAATCCATCGTGATCCAATTTCTTTCATGTGTTGGGTCGCGCGGATTTCGTGGGTTCTCAGGTGTTGCGCGGGTAACTCATTTTGAGCCTTCTACGCATTGCGCACGGCTGATTGTTAATTTTTGCGACGAGCACGAGGGGGAATGAAACGGAGAAGGCCTTCTCAGAAGGCGGCGGGACTTCTCATGAGCCCTCGCGCCTTCTGAGACGTTGTTTTGGTCTTCGGGGAAGGTCTAGAACACTTTTCAGAAGGCCGTGGGACTTCCGAACCTTCTGAGAAGGCCTTCTCCTTCTCACTTCCCTTTCTCGCTCGCCGCCGATAGTTCATTGCCCCCTTGCGCCTCATCCTTCTCCGCCACCCCTCGCGTCGCGCCAGGCTCAAGTGCTCGGTGTGTTTGTTTTGTGGGGGTTGCTATTTTAGCGATGGGTGGGTTTTCTTTGTCGCGTGCGATTGCATTATCTTCGACGTCGGTTTTGGAGCGCAGCGCGTTCAGGGAACAAGGCGCCTCATTGGTCGCCCCCTGGCTGTTATTGGATCGGCATGGGCATGGTTGCGCGGTGGCCTTGAGCGCCCGCAGGGTGGGCAATGCGTTTCGTTGCTGCTCTCGCGCGTTTCCACGTTGCTTTCGAATGCGAAATGCCGGCACTGCCCGGTTTGGGTTGCGCCGTAGGGGTCTCGTAATGATTCGTGGTGGTAGTATTTGCAGCGTTGTTTTTCAATGTTGAAGTCGATCCGTGGCCATGCCGGCCGCTTGTTGGCAGTATTCCGAAGTTGTTGGGCCTGCTTTGGGTGGTTGCGTTGCCGACGTGCCGTGTGCCATCCAGGGTGCGTGACGCTCCATAAACGTGCAGGCCGCCGAAGAATGTCGCAGACTGTTTTTGGAATCCTGCAAACGTTTGCCAGGTTTCTGTTGATTGCTGTTGATATATTCAAGCGTCTTCCAAGCAAGTTCCGAAGAGTCCGTCCACCAAAAGGTTTCTAGTGACATGTGGGAGTATAGATGGGCGGAGGGATCGATTGTGGCAGGGAGGAGGGATGTTGGAAGGAGAGAAGGGAGCAGCGAGAATGCGACGACGACGACGACAGCCGCTCTCTCGGACTCCAGGCCAGCCGTTTTCCCGCTTCCCCCCACTCCAGGGGTGGGTGTCCTGGGCTCATCATCGTGATCATCATCATCATGCCGAGGTAGTGCGAGCAGGGAGTTCCTGTCCCCCTCAGCCGCGTGGATGATGAGGATGATGAGGATGATGAGGATGAGGATGAGGATGAGGATGAGGATGAGGATGAGGATGAGGATGAGGATGATGATGATGATGATGATGATGATGATGATGATGATGATGATGATGATGATGATGACCCTCCTCCTCATCATCATCATCATCATCATCATCATCATCATCATCATCATCATCATCATCATCATCATCATCATCATCATCATCATCCTGCTCCTCCCGCTCTCCCTCCTCCTCCCCCCCCCTCCTCCTACTCATCCTCCTCCTGGACAGACGAAACGCCCAGCGAAACGCTCCTCCTCCTCTCCTCCTCCTCCTCCTCCTCCTCCTCCTCCTCCTCCTCCTCCTCCTCTTCCTGGATTAGCCATGCCCGCCGCCCCTGGCCAGGCCCACCTCGCTGTTTCTCTCGCGGGCGCCAGGCGGGGATGCACGGTGTTGCGTCGTGCCGGCAGGGCGGCGACCCCAGCGCGGGCGTTCAAGGTTGAGCGCCACCAGCGCCCAGAATCGGCCAATCACTGGATCATGCCTGCCCGCCGCCACTGGCCTCAGAGGAGGAAAAGATACCCATACCTCTACCCTTCCCTCTTTTTCCCCTGTTTGCGCCTCGTCGGAGGCCCTCGTCGCCACCGCTGGATCCGTCTCGAGATCCTGGTCAGAACGCAACCCGGGAGAGGTGAAGGGAGTAGCGGTATTGGTATTTTTTGGTTATCCCATGGCCAGGCCCACCTTGGGCCCTGGATCGGGTGAAGACGCCCTGGCCAGGCCAGGGAGGCACATGCACCGGCCCTGGCCCCAGGAGGGGCCGGCCATGCGGGCGGCGGATGTGTATAGATCTCGTCGCCCAAGATGTTCACGACGCCGGATCCGTGGCTCCGCCTCCACCACCTCCAGCCCTCACGTGCATAGCCGAGATGCTGAAGTCCAGGCAGCGGCAGAGCGTCTGCAGGAGGGGCGATGAGCGGAGGCGGCGACGACGAGTCATCGCTTTGTTTGTTTGTTTGGTCAACTTCCGTCTTGGCGATCCCAAGACTCACGGATCGACCAGCTCGAGAAATCCCACTCAAGATTCAGTTTCGAATTCTGGTCGTGGCCGTTTCACTACGTCGTGCATGTTTCCATGGCGTCGGATGGCAGGCGTGCTCGGGTATTAGTGAGCCCCGCCCTTCCTCGCCTCCCGAGCCCCCTAATAACCCACCCGAGCCCCACAGATTTCCCCCCACCCCCCCTGGACATCATCCTCCTCTGTTCTCCTTCCCCTCATCCTATCTATGTCAACCTCCTCTTGCACCTCTTTCTCCACCTCCACCCCCTTCGTCAAGCCCACCCCGGCATCGAGGTAATGCCCATGGGCAACATGGAGTGTTGGGCCGAGGGCTTCGGCTACAATGAGTGCTGTGACGCCAAATATGGGCCCAACGGCAACGCACAGTGTTGGGACGGAGTGTACAACTACGACCGCTGCTGCTTCCCGAAGGACCCAGGGGCCGCCAACTAGCCACCGGCACCTGTGTTGGTCCCCAGGCCTCCCAGACGGGGTCCGAGTTGATGTAATCGGCGATGCGGCCCGATGTGGGGCCCGATTTCCTCTGTGCCGACGTCGCCGATGCACCGCCGATGTCGCCGATGCTGCCCGATCGTCCGGCTCCATAAACTGGGACCCAGGTTGGAAGGCTTCTGGACACCAGGTTGGACCCAATCTGGGGACAAGTATCTAATGGCCTTCGGCCCATTCCGTCACTGTGCCTGGGTTGCCGGTCAGACTTCGCAGGGATTGTCCTTCGGGTCTCTTCGGGGCGCTCTCGAGGGCCTCTTGGGAGCAGTCATGGGGCCTCTTGGGAGCCTCATGGGGGCCTTTTGGAGGCCTCTTCGGGTCTCTTGGGAGCCTCTTGCGGCCTCTTGGGGGCTTCTTGGGGCCTCCTGGGGGCCCGTCGGGGCCGAGGGCTCGAAATGTCCGTTCGGGTTCCCCATCTGGGCCCCCTCTTGGAACCGTCTTTGGGCCCTCTTGGGCCCTCTTGGGCGCCTCTTAGGCACTCTTGGGGCCTTCGTAGAGCGTCTTGGGACCCTCTTGGGGCCTCTGGGGCCGTCTTGGGGCGATCTTGGGTGTCTCGCGGGCCGTCCTGGAGTGTCGGAAAGCTGAAAAGGCAAGAAGGCCAAACACTGTCGAAGACCGAATGACAATCAATGACTTCTTGCCTTTTGGGGCTCTCTGGGGACGCCTCTTGGAACACTCTTGGGACGTCTTCGTGCACTCTTGGGCCGTGTGGAGGCCATCTTGGGCGTATTGGGGCACTCTTGGGCCTTCTCCGAAGCATCTTCGGCCCTCTTGGGCGCTTTTTGGGCCCATGTTTGGCCGGCTGCGCTACCGGAGGACGCGCGCGACACGCCCGGGAAATCCTTAGGGATTGTTGACGCTTCGCGTATCCCTTACCTTGTTCCGTAGCACCCGCACCACTGTGCCTCGTTCTTTTGGACCGGGCGGCGCCTAGGTGCGTCACTGCGAATGTGGAGCATTTTGCTCAATGCATGTGCACCGCACCTTGTGTGCAATTAGCCTGTACCGCCGTCCCGGACACGCTTGTTGCCGCCCGACCGTAGTCGCGCGGCCGCCGACCAAAAAAGTATCCCCTACCTTGAACGCCCACCCGCTTACCATAGGACATGGACGGGCCCTCAAGCCCAGCATACAGAATTTGGTAACGGTCTGCGAGGGTCCCCCGGCACGGGGAAGACCAGGATATCTACGGCGCTGGCAGCCGCTTGGGGTCAGGGCGCGCCGAAAGGGTGTTGCGCTGCTGTCTTCAGTGGATCTAGCGCCGCTGCTGACCAGACGGCGGTCGCCCTCGAGCAAGCATGCAGAGAAGGACGCTCCAATGGCTTCGTGGGCTACCCCGCGCGCGCGGCACGATTCGCAAAGGACGACAGGGCTTCCACGCCCGAGGCTGTCGCCTTGAAGCCCTCCAGCCACTACACAAGAGCCTACGGACAGCCTCCTTACGCAACCAACGGACGCAACCGGACTGGCGCCAAGTACATCGACAGTCAGCTTCGGGACTCCTGCCTCATCCTGGCCACACGAGGCTGGAACTCAACTGAACAAACCGACCGGGCCCAAAATGACCATGGGGATAGTGGACGGGGCAATCTCCTTATGCAGCGTTGTCACCTGCGGTGGCCACGTCGTGTTCATTGGCGACCCGCAACAGCTGCCCCCCATGGTAATGCCCAAGAACGCAGCCGTTCTGGGAAATGAGATCTCCATTTTCGAATGAGTACAAATGTCCCTTGGGAAGGACAGCGAGGCCGTGACTTACCTCGCACAGTGTTTCAGGATGCACCCCGACGTGCTGACCTATCCCTCCTTTGTCTACTACGGAGGGAGGGTCGTCTCAGCGTTGACGGCTCCCCTGCAGGGACGCGCCATCGTCCCCGGCCTTCCGTGGGCAAAGCACGAACTCATCGACGAGGAACGGGGCCGACGATTCGCCGCGCACCTCGGGAAGGGCGCCGACGCGCTATTACGGGAAATCAGAGGCACACATACGGACCACACGGCACCTGGGGACGTCCACCGCGTCCTTATGGTAGACACCCCTCGCACGACGTGCCCCCGACAACCCAGAGTGGCTACGCCAACATTCGGGAGGCCGCCATTTGCATCGACATAGTTCGCAAGCAGGCCACAGCCATAAGGGACTCGGACATCACAGTCACGGGTATCAGCGGCTACGCGACCCAGCGGGGCGCACAGTATGGAAGGCGGCCCCAGACCAGGAACGAATTCACAAACAGCGCGCGTACCCTGACGCGGAAACCCAAGACCGCGCCATCCAGAGGCACGCAGAGGACATTCACACAAGGAGCATCCAGCGGCACCCCCGATCAGCCACGAAGTCGCTCTCCCACCGGCGGTCTGGCTGCGGCCGCATCCAGTCTGGAACTCAGTATTCGCCTGACACCAGCACCTAAGCGACGGCCAAGGCAAGACCCCGACAGGTGCGCCCTTCCCGACCACTCCACTGGGATTCATGTTCAACGGCCTAGCAGATGAGTTCCCCGACTTGCTCAGCACTGGTCAGCTCTCTTTGTCCACCATCGATTCCAGTCAGGGCGGCGAGGCTGCAGTCAGGGCGGCGAGGCTGACGTAGTGATCTACCTCACTTCCCGCTCCAACTACCAGTACGACTGGGCTTGCATGGGAAATGGCGACCGCGCCAACGTCGCTGCGACGAGGGCCAGGCGCTCTGTCATCCTGATCGGCGACGCTAGGATGTTTAGCGCAGCCAGCGAATCCATGCTCAGCGCCCGGGCGCGGCACGGCAGCGCCGCCAACCTTCGCGCGCGATTTATCAATGACAAGCACCTCGGGGCACGACCTCGGCTGGACGTCGACAGAAGATGGAGCTGCATCGAAGGCGTGCAAGGCTGGATCCCGCCTGAACAGCGCCCCAACAGCGCGTCCGACATCGACCGCGCCGTGGCTAGGGCCAGGGAAGGCCAGGCTAAAGGTTTTGCATGCGACGCCGACTCCACGCTCGACAAGGACCTCGATCGGGGCAGGCTCGCCCATCAGCTGAACGTCACGGCCCGCGCCCTTCTGGATGCGCCTGCGTTCGCCCATGTCCTCTACTTGGTCAGTAGACTGCGCCCGCGCGAGTGCGGCATAGCCAGCCGACCAGCAGACCCGTGCCAGTGCGGCCGCAAAATGCGGAGTCAGAATGGCCTCCTGTATGACGCCACCCTTGGCATCGATGCTAGCAATCTGGTTTGCAACGTGGGCCTCTCTGACGCGGGCTCGCGGCCTCGGGCCAAAGCGGGGCGGCGGCAGCGCAGCAGCGCGGCCGACGGACCTGTAGAACCGGCCCAGGCGCGGTCCCAGGTGGCGGCGGCGCTCTCTGGGGAGATGCGCGCCACCTGACATGGCCCAGCAGTTCCCCTGCGCATTGAAGCGCTCCACTGTGCAACGCAGCAGACACCGCCCACGCCCAGGGACGGGCGGCCTCGATGCCCTCCTCCCAGGGTAAGCTGGACCCACCCCCCTGCTCAACGGATGGGCCAGGAAAGGGCGCCGAGCCCGTTCGCAGGCACGGGCAAGGGCCAAGCTCATCCTAATGCTGCTCAACGAAAGTGGACCCAAGATGTTCATGTTCCCGTGCTCAGACCAAGAGGGAACGGGCGACGTGATCGAGGCAGTCCTCGGAATCTGCAAGCCTGGCAGCGCCGCGAGCGCCGCGTTCGCCGCCCGAGAGGTCAGCTTCGGCGAGTTTTTCGGGAAGACCTGGGGTCTGTCCAAGGACGGCTTCATGCGCCTCCACGGCCGCTTCGAAGACGCCCTGAGGCACGTCGCCTGCCTTGCCCGCGCGAGCCACCACCGCGCAGTTGCCAAAGACGCTGGGCGCCCTCAGACCTGGGCGGAGGCGCTGAACAGAAAGTCCCGCCCACGATCAGAACTGTTGGTTCTTGAAAAGCTGGTCGAGCCAGCTCGTCTCAAAGGCTTGGCCTCAGCGGATTGCGCGGCCTGCGCGCATCGCAGTGGACCGGCGGGCAGAGAAGCGCACCTCGGGGAAGCAGACAGCGACCTGCTTTGCTACATCGGTGGAGGCACGGCTATCTAATGGACCAATATGAACGCACCTGCGCCCATTAGCGTTGCCCCTGGCGTTCCCCCAGACCTGCCCAAGGGAGACGCGCGCTTTCTCGAGGAACAGAAGGACGCTCGCGCCTTCTGCGACACCTGCAATAGCGGGCCGCGGGTTCTCCGCGACGGCGCATGGGAGGATGGCCTGAATCGCAATCACCTGGCGCAGAATCGGAAACTCGCTTACAACGAGGGCCTCAACTGCCGCTGGCTCCGCCAATGCCACTGGCATCGCCGCCTCGAGGACTGCGGCGTCGAGGTGCCCCTGGGGGGGAACAGGCCGAGAGACTCGCCGCATGCCAGCAGGGTTGCAGCGCTGACAACGAGGTCGAAGTCAGCAGCAGCAGCGCCCCCACGCCCCCTCGGATGCCGACGGTCCCGGCTCAGGTGGCCAACCCAAACGGCGATTTCGCATGGTCGCAGCTGCTCCTGACGGCTGCCGGCTGCGACGACCCAGGGCAGATCGGCAGCGCCATCCTTGGGGGGCGTCCCGGCGGCGACAGGTTCGGCACTGGTGCCATTAATGCCAGTTGCGACAGCTGCGGCGGGGGGCCAGTCAAGTGCACGTGGAAGCCAGGCCAGCACTCGCCCGGCTCCTTCGCATGGAATCCCAATGCTGACCTGGGATGCGATGACCGTTGCGGCGTCCCGGAGTGGGGCCGCTGGGTAGAGCGCTGGACCGACGCCTCTTGGAATGCTCCCCGGCACTGCCGGATCTGCCTAGTGCGCATCTGGGACGTCGCACCCGGCGTTCTCAAGGTCATCCTGGACAGGGGCTCAGCGCGGATGCATCCCCCCACGCCAACGAAGAGGGTCCCGAGACCCAGACCCATTGCCGA